TGTCGGCGGAAACTTAAAATCAACCGCTAAAACTCGGTGGTCAACGGCATGGGATTCTTGCGAATCCGTTTTACACAATGAAGCAAACATTAGATCGGTACTACTGCAATTAAATTTTTGATATACATATTATTTCATTGTATATATTTCTATTTTACAATATTTTTATTAATAATAAAATAATAGGTTTTAGAAAATGAGGCTCAAGTCTTTGATCGCTCAATTGCAGTAAAAAATTTAATTACTAATCGTCAATTTTGGATTGATGCAGAGCAATTGCGGAATATCCTTGGCCCGGTAAAACGGGCCGTAAAAGATGTGGAGTTTCGAACAACTTTGTTAGCAGATGTATTCGTTGAACTTGTAAAAATGGCGATCACGATTCAAGAAACCTCTGTGTTGTACAATAACCAGTTTCGGCGTGATTGCATTTCTATTTACAATAAGCGTTGGAATGAATTTGATACAGATTTATATCTCTTGTCTTTTTTTTTGCACCCAGCTTATCGCGGTACTTAAGAGTTATATATGTTTTGAATATTTTTAAAATACATGTTTTACATTATTTTTATTTTTTTCTTGTAATAGGTAATTTTCTTGAACCCGGAATATATAAAAAACATGTTCAAAAAAAAGCATTAGAAATATGGAAGCAACTAGGTGGTGGTGATATAAGCGCAGATTTTCTAAAAGCCCAAATGAATTTATACAAAAACAAAAAACATCCCTTCGATGATGAATTCGTCGCATCAGTTGATACAGTTACTAATTGGTGGATGTCCATAGATCTTAAGAATAATGAAGAACATATCAAGCGCCTTGCTATGAAGCTACATTCTATCTCCCCTCATAATGCTGCGTGTGAACGTCTCTTTAGTATATTAGGATGGTATTTCGAAAAAAGGCGAACTAGGCGAGTTCATTTTTCTCTATGTTGTATAGAATTTAAGTATATGGGGTCGAATCTGCAATATTTTTTAGTGAATTTTTTAAAACTTCAAGTTTTAAAATTTTGCTCGATTCGGAATAATTTTAATGCTTACATAAGCAATTTTGATTGGCCAATTCTTACGTAATTTTGTCAAATATATATTAACGTTAAGATTTTTTTAAATTCCATTTTCTTTACATTAGATTGAGCCTTGACCGTCTTGAGATTATGGCCCAGATGCATTCATATCTAGTTGAAAATGTTGGGTCGGAACTTAATTATATAGAACAAGATTTTCGTCAAGAAGATTTTCTAGCGATTTTTAACAAAATTGCAAGCTCTATGGAAGATGGATCTGATCTGTTTAGTGAGGAAGAATCGTTTTCTTATCTTGAAGAACTTTCAGAACAAATGGAAGAGGACGTGGAAGAGCTTTCAGAATTGGATGACTTAGTGGGAGAGAATTCGACAAAATTAGAAGTCGAAAATATTATAAATTTATCATCTAAATTAGAGATTAATGAGTCAAGTGCGATTGAAGAAATTGTACATGGAAATAAAGACTTCGATGTAAATGATTTACTTAGTGATGATTCTGATTAATAAAAAGAATTTACACCCAATCCAAAGAATTGAGTAAAAATATTTTTTCTAAAAAAAAGTTCTACTATCAGTGAAAATCGGAAGTTAACTTATCTAATAATAATATTTTAACTTGATTATTACGCTGCCTACTAGTAAGTATATGATTTTAATTTTTTATTA